CCCTGTGAGCATCCCCAGACTCTGCAGACATCCCCAGACTCCACACCAGGTCCGGTCGTACCCTGCTGCCCACTGACCAGGCCAATCCATGAGATGCGGGTACACGGCTTCAAGAAGCAGGGAGGGCGAATCCCAACCCCAGCATCCCGCTTCCCATATCCCGCAGCGCTTTGTGGCTGAGCTGAGCGGGATGCGTGACCATGGAGCGTGCGGGACTGCTCGGAGGCAAGCTGCTCCATGCAGCCCTATCCTCCTCAAGCCCCCCGGCATTGCTGGAGGCATCCCGACGAGCCGCATCCCGATGAGCCGTATCTCCAAGCGGATGGGGAGGATGCCGGGTGCTCAGCCCCGTGCCAGGCTGCTGAGAGATGCCCAAAGAGCTGCCAGCGGGGAGCGGTGACTCACTGTCTGGGTTGAGGAAGAGAAACGCTCGCTGGCGTGGATCCTCCTCCTCTTCATCCATCTTCATGTACTTATAAAAACCAAACCTGGGAGAGAGAGAGGAAAGATGAGGTCCCGGAGATAAGAGAGGGGCGTACGCGCAAAGGGACGTGCTCACACACACGCGAGCCCACATGTGCGCAGGGAGGAACATCCCCAGCTGCAGCGCAGGCACCCGGGCACAGCCCGGACCCGAAGGGAGCTGGGATTCCCAAAATCCAGGAGCGCTGCCAGGTCTCAAGCTGCTACGTGCCCAAGAGATGGGAAAAGAGCCAGCCTGGAGGTGGCAGACCGTGTCTGAGCCTGCTACGTGCCCAAGAGATGGGAAAAGAGCCAGCCTGGAGGTGGCCCTTGCACAGGGGACGGAGCTTGGGGACACACGGCTGAGGATGCATCATCTTAGCGCCGTTTCTCCAGCTCTTTGAGCGCCCTGTTGACATCGGCCCCTTCCTCCCCCTCCAAGTACCACCCCCAAACACCGGCCCCCCAGCACTTACTTCTCCAGGTAGAGGGGGGACTCCCTGTAGAAGCACTTGTTCTCCGTCTCCATGTGAGTGAGGCGCGTGAAGTCGTTGGGGTACACAAACGAGAGGTAGACCTGGGGAGATGACCAC